CAATCTGCAGACATGCATGTTTCGGCGTTCAACGCCTCGTCAGTGCAGCTTGGTACACGTCTAGATACGTGAGACACTCGTATTTATACCCCATGAACTTGCTCTCACCAAGGCATGAGGTACAACACGGTGACTCAACGCATCCAGACATGCGCAGAGCGTAATGGGGCCAGAGTGCTCAAACGACCACAAGGGAAGCGAGCTTTGCATTATTATATATATATATATATATATATATATATATATATATATATATATATATATATATATATATATATATATATATATATATATATATATATATATATATATATATACTTATATATATATATATATATATATATATATATATATATATATATATATATATATATATATATATATATATATATATATATATATATATATATATATATATATATAGAATTACGTTTCGTTGTTTACAAAAACATTTGGCAGAGTGCTCAATGGATATCCAGAGCATAATTAAATAAGTGCAACGACTCAACAAATTCCACTAGGCATCTTTATTACTATTAATAAAGATGCCCAGTGGAATTTGTTGAGTCGTTGCACTTTTATATATATATATATATATATATATATATATATATATATATATATATATATATATATATTTGAAGCTAAAAGTAAAGCTTGGACGGTTGAAACAGGTTAAAAATTTATTTTAAGACGTTTCGGTCAAACAACTAAGACCTTCGTCGGTTCTACTAAAACGTGAAACTACGTCTATATTATATAGGTTACAAACAATTATGCTAAATTGCTACTAATTTGTTCAAGATAAAAATAAATATCCGGAATGTCATTAGGACCGTTCTAAAGTATGTTAATTGTTAAAACTGAAAACAATTATAATCTCAGTAGTGCAGGGCATTTTTTAAGAATTCGTCGGTGGGGGGGGGGGCATCTACAAAAAGGGACCATACTATACCGAGTGTGGAGCAATGATAGATGGTTTGTTGGTAACAAGTAGGGGGGGGGGGAGAGCAGGGCCATAGGAAGCTCTTTTCGTTTGGGGGGGCTGAAAGCGAGGGCCGAAGGCCCGAGGAAATTTTTTAATTTAGAGTCTCTGAAATGCCATTTCCTGGACTTTGGGATGATTATTAGCAAATTATTGGGGGGCTGCAGCCCCCCAGCCCTCCCCCCCGTGGTTGCTACGGCCCTGGAGAGGGTCTGGGGGTTTTCTCCGCCAGAAAAATTTTGTATTTTTCTACCCCTATGAGTGCAATTCCCTACATTTTCTGAAACAGATTTTTGGATATACAGCATTACATTATGCTGTAGATAGACTGATATGTTTATGTAGATACCACAACTTGGCCGTCACTTAGGGAGCCAGCTTGATAAACTTAGAGTTCCCGACTCCCACGAAGCGCCACCTGCATGGTTGGCACAGAGCGGAAAAAAATTTAAAATTTTGCGTCTCTAAATCATCGGAAATGGCATTTTCAAAGTCTTCTATACGTCTTTTGTTTGGCCCTTTCATTAATTTGTTCATTATGATTTGTGAGTCTATGATATCCGCGAGTCAGGATGGATTATTACGAGAAATGTTATCAAAATATCGATTACAGATATTTGATTATATGTATATATGATTTCAAATACTTCTAGTTTCGAAATCAAATTGGTTTTTTTTGGTGGGGGCCAAAATTATCCCCCCCTTATAAAACACTTGGTTGAGGGCCTGTTGCCCCCTGCAGTCACTAACTTGTCCAACAACTCAAACTCTATAGGGTCTGGGAAATGCAATCCACTGCCTGGGAAATGTTTAAAATCTAATAAGGTATTTATTAAACATAAAAGACAGGACATAAGATTCACAAAGCAAATCTCAGTTACTAGAATATCAAACCTCCGTTCTAAATTCCATGTTTTGCTTATATTTTAGAGAAAAGGGATTCACCCATGCAGCGTTTAATAATATCAGCTGATTTAGAGTCATTTTTAAAGACCCATGTCCATATAGCTATTGAATATTGTCATATTTAACATTGAGTCAACATTTATATGGGGTCAACATTTATATATATATATCTTATTTTTATGTGGGTTTTGCTCTAGAATTCACTGACAGGGAGGCAGGTCTATACTAGTTGGGTGTGTATGAATGATAAACACCAAATCAGCTTTGCCCATGGCGATTCAGAAAATTATGAAGCCTACCTGTTTTTCTGCCACAATGCTAATACTTTCCTGTTCCACTACTAGCCTGTCTTTATCAGTAACATCATCTATGTTATCAATTTCAATATAATCGTTCCATTCACAGTCAAATTTTTTAAGATAAACCTTTGTATTTTCGGGAATTTTGAAACAATTTTTTACTTCAATAGTCAATTGCTCGAATGTTTGACTGTCACTTTCATGTATTTGAATGATTTTTTTTTTCTGTCTCCCAACTGTAACAACACCTAAATTTGACAAAATGAAATATATTATAAATAAATATTAATGTATTATTAACTGTACCATGCTTGTATTCAAATCAGTGAAATGCTGTTTAAAATAAAGAATAAAGAGTGTTTGTTTGTTGTTTTTTTTCAAATATACAGGTTTTTTTTCAAATATACTTGTTTTAAAATACTTTCAATATATTTGCATACTAAAATATGTAAAATACCAAACTTGTAATTTCACACTGAATTGAAAGTGGATTAGAAAGTTGGTGGATGTATGATTTTAACCCAAAAAATTTAAGGATTTTTAAAAAATTACATTTTTGATTACATCTTGCAATTCCACGCCACTTTCCACGCTAGTGATTTCCGCCATCTTGAAGAAATGAACTGTGCTTCCACTTTCAAAAATTGAAAAATCCTTATTTTGTCCTTATTTGGACTAAAATTTCCTTCAAAAATATTGAAATTTTCTTTTACGAATTTTTCCATTTTTATGTAGATTTATGCAAAATCATGGCAGAAAAAGTGGTTAAAAACATGTGCTCATTTGATTTTTTCAGCTAATTTTGAAAAATCCTTCAAATTTTCTATTTTTTCCTAAATTTCCTTCAAATTTCCTTCGATTTTAAATTTCTTTCACATTTCCTTCATTTTCCTAAAAGCCAAAATTTCCTTTGAAAATGAAATTTCTGTCAATATGGAAGCTCTGGAAATGAAGCTATCCACGCAATTCCTTAATTTTTGACATATTTCGAAAATATTTCCTTTAAAAATTTCCCCGTCATATTCCCGTGGGTAAAATTCAAAAAAGCAATTCCCCCACCCTCTTTTTAAGTGGTAGAACAAAGTGTTATGATTTTCCTGACTCTGGGGAAGAATTTTGTTGCAATCTACGTGTATTCTCCCACAACATCCCGTGGTCTGCCCGGGGGTCGACGCCTCGGGGAAGCCGATGACAAGTGCATTATCTTTACCCGATTTCAAACGGCGTTTTAACCCTTAAGCTTGGACATGAATAATGTATAATGCATCTCCGAAATTAATGGGTGTGTAATAATTATGTGCTGTAATTAACTGTAAATATCCATAGTTAATGTGTGTTTAATACTATATAACACAGCCCTTTGAAAAACAGACTGTATATATTATACTGAATAGGCTACCGTGTTAAAAGAAATTTTATTAAAGATTAAAGATCAATAACAACGCTTTCTAGCCCATGAGCAAGAGCTTGAAACATTTTTGAAGCAAGACAATGAGGTCCAGGCCCACCATTTACCAGGGACATTGGCTATGATTAATCCTGCAAAGTAATACTCATTCTGTTCTATGCTGCTGGCTTGATAAGATAAAAATTTATCATGCTCGGATCCACAAAATAGTTGGGAAGTAAACAACCACTGAAAGACAAGCGTAAAAAATTCTTTCATTGGTCCGCCCATGTCAACTGCGTCCTCGCTGTTCCCAGCATCATCGGTAAATTTCACTGACACTTTGTTATTTGGTGAAAATGATTTTCGTGATAGTGCTCGTTTAGTTCCTTCCCAAATAAAGTTTCGTGAAATGTTAAATTTGGAAATGTTATCCTGATTGATATCCAGTGCTAATTTTGTTAAAATTTCATTCGCGGTTTCTTCAACATCCGAGGTATCAGTATCACCATTATCAATTGCAGTGGATTGGTTGGCATTTGCTTTATCTTCATCGATACAGATACTCGCATCTTCAAAATTGGTCAATGAATCAGTCGTTTCCAGAAGAGATGCATAATATGCGTCCAAGCAACTGCGATCTGTTTCTTCCTGCACTAAATTTCTATAAATGATAATCAAATCTATTCAGTATATAAAGCCAATTAGACATATGCTCATGTTTCAACTGACATAACTGGGTATTATTATTATATAGACTTTGGGGGGCATCTAAAACTGTGTTTTGACACCAATACGGTTGCATGTCACCACATATATGCCGCTAACATAAAACACTCCAGATCATTGTATTTAACGACATAAATAGAAGCAAATTCTGTCAGTTTTTGAATGGCATTCTACTCAGTGGATCTCATGACCCAACCGCGGCTTCATATAATTAAATAATCAATTCGTTCATTTTATTTTGCCGTAGTTTTTGATACAGTTTATGCTTCATTACCTGTTTGGACAGGTTGGTATAAATTCCTGCTGCGAAGTAAATTTTTCTGACGAGCTCTCGACACTATAAATAATATACAATATACCAGAATGTCAGGAATCAAACATTAATTACCTATCGAATACAGACAGAATTTCTATGGTAATGGTAATGGTTTATTAATAACTCTTTGCAGAACATTTACATCTGAATTACGAGTTACTTACATGATTAAAAATAGATTATATTATAAAACCTAAATTATATACAAATATGTAATTATTAAAAGGATCTATATCTATATATATATATATATATCTATATATATATATATATATATATATATATATATATATATATATATATATATATATATATATATATATATATATATATATATATATATAAATATATACTGTATAAATTGTTCAAAATTTATTTGTTACAAATTGGCTAAAACGGTTATAGTTCTTACGATTGTTTGGACATTGTTTATCTCCTCGACTGCGATCGTAATGAATACGAATGAGTGATGGTAGGTTCGTAATTAGTGTTAATGATCTTAGACAACACAGAGCTTGACTTTCGTTGTTGAGCCATGAAGGATTCACAAATACGATCTCTACGATTAGATAACTGGAGCAGTTTAGAGGACTCTAAGGCTTGAAAATAGTCGAAGTCTGGGAATATTATTTTTAATGCCCTTCGTTGAACGGATTCGATATCATCGGATAGGTACTGCGGTAAGTTGGCCCAAACGGGGGCAGCATACTCTAGCACTGATCGAATAAGAGAAATGTAAATGAGAACCAGGTCTTTATCTGATATGCCAGCAATTTTCAATTGTCTCAATATATATAACCGTTTGAAACCTTTCTTAGTAATATAACCAACATGCATGTTTGTTCCAAGATAGATCATCTGACATATAAACTCCCAACAATTTGAAATGCTTAACCAAATCCACTTGAAGATCACCAATTAACAGCTGTCCACCAATTGGTGATCTATACTTAAGAAAACAGATACGCATTTCATTGCACTTCTTCGGATTCAATCTCATATGACTAGCACTAGCATACTGATTAACCTCATTAACTAAAAAAGGCGTAAGTCGGAGAGTTACGAGGAATTATTTCCAGTGAGGTCAGGTCGTCAACAAATTTAACTCGATAGTGCCATGAATTTATTAACGAGTTGACGAGCACGGCAAATAACAATGGGCCAAGCTTCGTCCCCTGAGGAATTCCACCATTAAGATATCTGTATTTGGAATTGGAACTCCCAATTCTAACACACTGAGATCTTTTATACAAAAAGGCCGAAACCCAGTTTTGGAGAACTGGGTTCACCCCAAAGCAATTCAGTTCTGATAGGAGAACGCTATGGTCGACTAGATCAAAGCCCTTTGCAAAATCGGCAATAAAAAGCCGGATAGAGCAACCACCAGTTTCCAAATAGCCCAGAATTGTATGCATTAAATAGACCAGGGCCTGAGTCGTAGATTTTCCCTTAGCAGCGAACTGAAATTGGTCCAGCATAGGAAGTAAATCGTCAGATAACCTTTAAGTGTGAAACCCTCCATAATCTTAGCAACTTGGTTAGTCAACGATATTGGACGTAGGTCTGAATTTATTTCTTTAGGGGGATGACACTTAGGTAATGGGATAGCGATCGATGCCTTCAACTGTTCTGGGAAAACGCCTTGCTTCATACTGGAATTATAAATATCCGCCAAAACTGGGGCCAATTCGAAAGCAAAGTCTTTTAGGACCCGGTTGGGTATACCGTCAGGACCAATTGCTGAGCGGGATTTGATGCGCGATAGATCACAGAAGACCTCGTTACTTGAAACTAACAGCTCATCAGGAACATGAATAGAAGGGCTATTCGGGCAATGATCGAGCGGGGAAAAGTTGGATGAAATATTAACAAAGGCGTTGTTAATTTTTTGACACAAATTATCCAATGATGGAGTTTCCTCGTTAATGAATTGATGTTGTAAAATAACATGTATATAACGCGTATTCTGATTGGTCGAAAGCCGTGTTTGGATCAGGCCATCCAAACACGGAAGACTACCGTGTTGTTGTTATTTTATAAAACAATTACTTTATGGTTTCCGTGTTTGGATGGACTGATCCAAACACTTGGGAATGTTGCTCTCGCAACATTCCCGCGTGTTTGGATCAGGCCATCCAAACACGGAAACCATAAAGTAATTGTATAATACCACTCACTTTTCCGGCATGGGGTGGATAACTTTTTGACCTGGCGCCACCAGTGAGAAATATTAGAGTCTCTTAGATGTTGCACAGACGAATTGTAATACTTCGCCTTCGATACCTTTATCTCATTTTTAACTCTTTTTCTCCAAAACTTAAATTCTTCAGACACACAACCAAATTTTGCCAATGCGGATTGCCTCTTCCCAATAAGAAATTTTAATTTACATGTTAGCCACGGTTTGTCGCACGCCAGAGTTTTAACCCGTTTAAAGGGGAAACAGGCATCGACAGCGCCAGAAATTAGTTTATGGAACTCTAAATATTTATCTTCACATGCCTCAAGTTCAAGGACGGTAGACCAGTCAACCGTGGTTATCCATTGGCCAAAACGATGAAAATTACTTTCCGTTAAAACTCGCCTAAACGCTGGATCATTCTGTTTTGCGTTAGCGGTACCCGTGGGCGGGTTATTTTTCGCCGCAATGGATATAGTATAGTGGTCACTGGAAGCAATATTCGGTAATTGAGTAGGCGCAGAGAAAAGATTCGGTTTGTTCACTAAACACCAGTCTAACACACCACTATCCCGTGTGTTAACTTTGACTAATTGTTTAAGTCCAGTTCGACGTTTAACAAGTTTTTCATTCAAATTGGTGGAATTAGGATTGAAATCCCCCGTTATCACAACTAAAGCATCAGGGTGGGCATTCACAAACGAGTCAACATTATTTTGAATATGGACTAGACAATCAGAGTCATCCTGGGAATTGGAGGCAGTGGTGTGGTAAATTACCGCATACAAAATCAATGAAGCTTGACGGGGAAGACGTGGGGGTCTTAAAACCAACCACAACGACTCTCTATCGACAGTTTCGTACTCAAATAATCTTTTAACTGGGATAGAATTCTTAACATAGATACCAACGCCGCCCCCCAAACGATCTTGACGATCACTTCTGAAAAAGTTATAGCCCGGTATACTTATTTCATCAGTTAAAATATCATCAGATAGCCATGTCTCTGTTAAACTAACAATATCAGCAGAATTATGTTCAACAACAAGTTGAAGTTCGTCAACTTTGTTCCTCAATGAACGAATGTTTGTCAAAAGAATATTAGGAATATTGTTATTCAAGCGAGGTGGAGATTGGAGTATGTTGATACTAATACAATTGGATAGGTTAGCTAATCCCCGAGCCGACGGCGCGAAACCCCGTGCGAGGGTACTAATTCCCC